CAGAAGAAGCCATCGGACAGAATGTCTCTGAAGGACGCGAAGACCCACTTATGGATCACTACTTTCACCAAAAGTAAATCAAACAATGAGAACGAGTGCTCAATAAATAACAACAAATAGTAGCCGTATTTTAGCTAATTATCGTTTTCTGCTTTTTCGTAATCTCTTATGATTTAATGATTTGTAAACAAATAATTAATTTTATTTCAACCATTATTTTAATTTATCATTTTAATAATGATTTCTAAAATATTTTAAACACTTCTGAATAACAATAAATACAATACATTCAGAATTAATGAACATTAGACTTATTTTATTCAAAAGTAATGACTTCTAAAACAAAAATTTAATGGTTAAGAGTTAATTGAAAAGTGATAAAAACATTAGACAAATATGATTTCATATACAAAAGCGCTTTATTTGCGCATTTTCTTGTGTTTGTCGCGATGATCATCCCTACCATCCCTTCCCCTCTTCATGGAACTGTGTTTCGACGAACCCATCGATGAATGCTTTGAAGAACCCATCGATGAATGCTTAGAAGAACCCATTGATGAACGCTTTGATGAGCCCATCGATGAGTGCATTTTTGGCGGCGGGGGTTTAGACCGATGATGACTCCCTCCTACGCCACCTTTCCCTTTGCGTTGAGTGTAATCGTCAACGAAGTCTGAATGTGTTTTGTCGGCGGCCGCCGCCTCCTCTTCCAACTCAGACCAGTCTTTACCGCTCTCTTCACTCGAACCCAAAGAGTTTTCTGAAATAAGCAAACATTTAGTTTCATTTCCAAACGAAGCCATTGTTTGCTTTAATACCCGATTCCTCGGTCTCCGACTCAGTGACGGCTGAATCTTCGGAAAAGTCTGATTCGCTTTCCTCAACACTGGAGCCCGAGTCGGAGGGCTTGTACTGGTCGTCCTCATCGTCCGAGTCATCGTTCTCGTGGTTCTCCTCATCGGATTCGGGGTCTAAGAAAGTCCAACCGCCGGAGTCGAAGAAGCCCTCGGGATCATCGGTTATAGTCTTCATTATTTTGGCCCAATTCAGAGACTGTATGCCTTCCGTGTATCGGATGTCACACGAACTGAAACACATTCGCCTCATTAGCACTCATTCTACTCGCGAGTCCTATAAGTCATACTTAAGCCATTCCTTCACGTGATCCAACATATTCATGGGCACCGCGTTAACCATCGATATCTTTCGGTTATAGTCCTTAAACACGAATATCATATCGAAGTTCTTCAGATG